TGCAGGGAGCCGGAGCCCGGAAGTGACCCAGGCACTGCTGTCATGGAGACGAGCATCTCAACTGCTGGGCTAAAAAGCCAGCCTCTGGTCATTTTTACTTTGGTCTCCTGATTTTTATTTGTGGAAATACATGATGTGCACCAATTAAAATAACTCCTGCTTCTGTGGCTCATGCTGACTGGTCCTTGCCCACACTGGGCTTCCCACTCATGGAGACCCCTCTATAAATCCTGGGGTTCTGGTAGACAGGGTGGCTGGGGGAACTGGTGTAACGCAAATCCTGAACAGCTTTTTGGTTGTGTAGCCACTGCCTACTAAGCATTCTATCACATGCAGACTATGTTGTACCTCAGGTTTTATGAGGTATTGAAGATTGTGTAGTACTACCAGCTAACACAAGAGGTCAGCAAACAATTAGCTATTCATGCTTCAGAATGCTAATATTTAAACAGTAACCTTGCTGAAGATGAACTCAGGAGGGTACCGAACTTTTAGCTTTTTGAAGACATTACTTTTAAAATTGACAATTCCTGACACAGGACCAATGAACATTTAAAACTATATTAACTTTCCGTTTATTAGAGAGAGATTTTCCATCTGTTGGTTTGCTTCCCAAACGTGCGAACCTGCCAGAGTGCACTCTGCCAGGCTGAGACCCCACCTGGCCTCCCGCATGGGTGGCTTGGGTGCATTCGCAGGACCAGGCACCCCAAACGGCAGTCCCACAGTGTTATTCCTAAACAGTTGCTATTGTTTGACTTTTCTTTTAGGTTACATTTCGGACAAGAATCTATCACTGTAATATTAACAGTCAAGGAGTTATTTGCTTGGACATATTGAAAGATAATTGGAGTCCAGCACTAACTATTTCTAAAGTCCTCCTTTCCATCTGCTCACTTCTTACAGACTGTAATCCTGGTAAGGTTAACAATTCTCTACCTTGTTTTATTTTTCCTCACCTGAAAAAGACAAAAATGAAATTGCTTTTCAGAGAAAGTTCTAATGGAGAAGAGTTGGCAAAGGGAACAACTTCACCATTGTCTAGTATGTTCTAGGACAAGGTATTTTAAACTGAAGAGTCTAGTCTGTCCTAACCTCACCTGGCTCACTGTGCCAGAGCTGCTTACGGAGGCAGGGCTCAATTTTGAAATGGGATTTCTTTGCTAAATACTTAGTGACTACTGAAGTGTGATTTTGTTGGGACTGCATTCCATTAAAAGTTTTCCCTGGATAAGCTAATGTAAATGTAAAGATGCTGTGTTAAGTTGCCAGAAACACACTGTTCTCAACTGCAGCCCAGGTGTTGGCTGGCAACTGGAAGTGCCACAGCCACGAAGAACTCATACAGTGCCTATCGCCACCACACACGGCCACAAAGAGCTCATACAGTGCCTATCGCCACCACACATGGCCACGAAGAACTCATACAGTGCCTATCGCCACCACACACGGCCACGAAGAGCTCATACAGTGCCTATCGCCACCACACACGGCCACGAAGAGCTCATACAGTGCCTATCGCCACCACACACGGCCACAAAGAACTCATACAGTGCCTATCGCCACCACACAACCACAAAGAGTTCATACAGTGCCTATCGCCACCACACACGGCCACGAAGAGCTCACACAGTGCACATCGCCACCACACGGCTGACGTCCTTTGTAGCCTGTAGCCCTGAGCCCGCCCAACATGTTAAGAGCAAAAGCGACTTACTGGGTGGTGTTGGTTGAGAAATGGTGTTAACCAAGCAGTAAAGCCAGACCAGTACTCTGTCCCTCCTCCATGCAGTGTTTTGTAAAGTCTGGAAGGAAAAATACCCAGAACGGTAGAGTGGTGTCTGACTGTAGAGTTGAAACTGCATTTTCCTTTCTCCGGAGTAACCTACATTCTTCTTCTTGCAGCCGACCCTCTGGTGGGCAGCATCGCCACCCAGTACATGACCAACAGAGCAGAGCACGACCGGATGGCCCGACAGTGGACCAAGAGATACGCCACATAAACGGGGTTTTCACAGTGCTTACATTACTTGTCTGTCACAGAAGAGAGCTGCTTATGATTTTGAAGGGATGGGGGAGGGTGGGAGTTGGTAAAGAGTAGGGTATTTCTATAACAGATATTATTCAGTCTTATTTCCTAAGATTTTGTTGTAACTTAAGGTATCTTGCTACAGTAGACAGAATTGGTAATAGCGACTTTTAAAATTGTCATTAGTTCTGCAGTATTAGCTAAAATGTAGAAAAGAATGTACATCTTGACATTTGGGTTTGGTTGCTTGTAGTCTGTAAAACAGCTTAATTTTGTACAGGTTACATACATGGCCATTGATGTAAAGTCCCTTTATGACTACATACTTTTGTTTAAAAAAATTGGAATTTGTTTTTCTCTTCTTGCAAGAGAATATTGATATTTAACAGAGTTTTTAGAGAGACTCATCTCATATATATAAAATGGACATGTGGCTATAAGACACCATATAGGAAATGAGTAGTTGATGTATTTTATTTTATATGCCAATCTACTTTATTGTGAAAAGATTAAAAGTTTGAATCAGGACTTGTGAAACCTGTAGTGAAATACCTTAAGCTGTTACCTGTGAGGCGTGGATAGGAGTTGCTCGGTGGATTGGTTATATGTTGTGGACTACTTAAGTCCTCGTTTGTTACTGTGCTAATAAACAATATTAAAAACAACCACCTGGTGCTGCTGGGTTTATTTTGTCTTTATTGACAGATCTTTGCTCTACAACAATTAAAAATACTTAATAAATAGCACTTACCTATGTTAGAATAGATACTTTTATACAACAGTAGACTTTGAGACGTCTTAGAGAAGGTTAAATAACTGAGGTTTTCAGAGACGAAGTGTCCTGCATCTCTTTACAAGCATTTTCTAACCTGCAGGTGCTGTGGGAGCAAGTCCACGAGAAACGGGTTGTGTCACAAGGATAGCTAAATGGGCACCACACTGGAGGGCAGTTTGACCCCACTTGAGGCTACACCTCCCATAACCCAGCAGTTCTGCTTTTGGGTCTCCTCCAGAGAAACCCAGCCAGGGCCACACACTGACTACAGCATTTTAAAAGAATCCACTAACACAGATCTAAGCTGCATTCTGTGGAAAAAAAGCAAACTGTAAACGATCAGTAATCACCCCAGCTAAGCAGGAGTGTGCCTCAACAGCTGAGCGATAGCTTTCTGACTAAAACCAAAGATATCTGTGATGAGAAACTGCAGTTACACAACAGCAATAACTGACCACCTTTTATATGTATATTTTTTATGGAATAACTTATTTCAGATTTCACATTCACATCAAGTAGTTAACTTTTATAACTGAAACCACTAAGTACTTGCTTCCTACTTTTTAGTTATAATATTGTCAACTTGCTAAATATAACTAGTCACGCTACTAGGGTGTTAGCAAAATCTTCAGAGAATCTTGGCACAAGCTCAGGTATCTAATTGTAAAACTACCATGATTTTTTTTTTTTTTTTTTTTGACAGGCAGAGTGGACAGTGAGAGAGAGAGACAGAGAGAGAAAGGTCTTCCTTTGCCGTTGGATCACCCTCCAATGGCCGCCGCTGCAGCCGGCGCACCGCGCTGATCCGATGGCAGGAGCCAGGATCCAGGTGCTTTTCCTGGTCTCCCATGGGGTGCAGGGCCCAAGCACCTGGGCCATCCTCCACTGCACTCCCTGGCCATAGCAGAGAGCTGGCCTGGAAGAGGGGCAACCGGGACAGAATCCAGCGCCCCAACCGGGACTAGAACCCGGTGTGCCGGCGCCGCAAGGTGGAGGATTAGCCTATTGAGCCACGGCGCCGGCGCTTAACTACCATGATTTTTATTTTACTGCATATGAGTAGGTATGTAGAAAATGATTCTAGAAAATACAGTGTTTCTTTTGGAAAATGAAAGCGTTACTGTTGGGAAGCAGCAGTTTTGCCTTCTGGTTTAAACATGCGTCTGGCGGAAGGAAGGAAGGGATTGAGGGACTGTTTTAGACTACCTGCTCCCTCAAGCCATGCTGACCACAATTTGAGCAAAACCAAACTGAGTTCTGTTCTAAGTAGTAGAAGTCTCTATGGTATAACATTTAGCTTATTTAAGACAGCCAAACTGATCATTGTTACTGGTCAGTTTTATACTCTAGACAACAGAACTTTTAAGAACAGTTATGTTTGAACTAAGAAGTCTGCATAGGGAAAAGCACTGTGGTGCAAATTAACTTGCTGCCTGCATGCCACATACAATTGCTGGTTCAGCTCCCCACTGGTCTGCAATCCAGCTCCCTGCTGATGAGCTTGGGAAGGCGGCAGAAGATGGTACAGCACTTGAGCCCCTGCTGCCCTGTGGGAGACCAGGATAGAGTTCCTGGCTCCTGGCTGAGCTCTGGCTGCTGTGGCCGTTTTCAGGGGTGAATCCACAGATGGGAGACCGATCTGTCCCTCCAACCTTTCAAATTTTTTCCTAAAAACTTATTATTTGAAAGGCAGTTGCACAGAGTGGAGGCGAGAGAAGGGCGGGACAGAGAGGTCTTCCATCCGTGGGTTCACTCCCCAAATGGCCGCAATGGCCAGAGCTGGGCAGATCCAAAGCCAGGAACCAGGAGCTTCTTCCAGATCTCCCACGCAGGTGCAGAGGCCCAGGACTTGGGCCATCTTCCGCTGCTTTCCCAGGCCATAGCAGAGAGCCGGATCAGAAGTAGAGCAGCCAGGACTTAAACCAGCACCTGTATGGGATGCCAGCACTGCAGGCAGTGGCTTTAACTGCTGTGCCACAGCGCCGACCCCCTCAATCTTTAAAAAAGTAGTTTAGTTCCATAAAATGAGTTTGCCAGCTTCTGAAATAGCGTGGGGGAGGGGAGGAGTTACATACATTGCAGTTACATACTATCCAAACCTTATTTTACTGTTTTGACAAAGCAATATACATAACAGGTGCTAATTTCAGGGACAGGTTTTATAATGCAAGAATGAGAAAATTTCATATCAAGCAATAGTAATAAACGTAGCCAAAAGAATTTAATTACAGCCTAAAGTGCAGCACATTACTTCCTTAGGGGTTTCCCAAGGACCAAAGGTAGGTACCAATGACCTGTTTTAAACCTTCATCTCTGTATGATGCAGTCGGCGCTGCACGGGGTGACGTCTAGTTCTCAGAGCTGGAGTTGCCTTTGTTTTTCCGCCCAGGCAGAGGGAAGCCCGACTTGCTTTGGGGCTGGGAGAGCTTGCTGGCCAGCAGCATGAAGGGCTCGATGAGCGTCCTGCGGTCAGTGGCGGTCACCTCCCACAGCCTCACCCTCTCACTCCTGGCCCACTGCTGCGCCACCTCAGCGTCCACTTGTCTCTGCTCCGAAAGGTCGGTCTTGTTTCCTAACACGACGATCGCTACCTGAAGGAAAATGGAAAAGATGGCACCGGTACTCCGCCACCCACAGTTCCTATGCAGAACGGAGGAATGAGGAAAGCTGTTCAGTTACTGCTTCGCAGAATGGATTCTCAGATGGCACTGGGAGTAAGAGGCAACGACCCTCCTCCCTCAACACATTTTTGTTAAAAACGCAGACACGTATGGGGTGCTTAGCTCCATTGTGAATGAAAGGGGAAATTAACATCTAAGATGTGAGCAGTGGTTTCTGTGTGGCCATACTTGAGGTCTGAGATTCTGCAATACAGGGCTTCAAACATCAATCAAAATACACCTGGCACTGAGAGTTCTGAACCCCTAGAAGTGAGGCCCCATGAACACAGGCTTTTGGTTTGTTTTACTTCTTTGAGAGGTAGAGCTTCAGACAGGGGGAGACAGAGGCCTTCCATGTGCTGCTTCACTCCCCAACTGGCTGCAACGGCCAGAGCTGCACCAATCCAAAGCCAGGAGCCTAGAGTTTCTTCCAGGTCTCTCACGTGGGTGCAGGGGCCCAAGCACTTGGGCCATCTTTCACTGCTTTCCCAGGCCACAGCAGAGAGCTGGATTGGAAGAGGATCACCCAGGACTAGAACCGGCACCCATATGGGATGCCGGCACCCTAGGTGGAGGCTTAACCTGTGCCACAGCGCCGGCCCCCACAGGCATTTTGTGTGTTCACATTGTTCCCAGTCTAGAAAAGTGCCTGCTAAATATGTATTGAATGTGCGGGCCGACAGTGCTAAATACCAGTCATCCAGTTAAACAGGAATGCTTCCCAGGCACAGGGTCAGGTGACCAGAGCACAGCAATCACAACACAGTCCAGGTGCCCAGGGCCACAGCAGAAGAGGTAAGCCCAGGAAGTGACCGTACGGAAGGGTACGGGACTCAGAGGACCCCTGAGGCGCAGCTGGGGTGGAGATGCCGGGTGCCACCATGTTCCACCCTCCAATTCAAGTCTTGCTGAGCTCCGCAGGGCAGCGTGAAAGAGCAGCCCCACGGTGCTGGTTGTCCCGGTAAATCTCGTCCTCCATCTCAAAGCAGGGGCTGTGCCCTCAAGCCTGTCACCACTCGGACTCACATCGCATGTACACCCCCTTGTCTGACTTCCACCTCCTCCTCCCCAACAACAGAAACTAACACTTTGCCCTCTAGAATTTGGCAGAATGCCCACTCCCACTGCACCCATCTGTCTTGCCCAGTTCAGCTCTACAAGCCCATTCTCCCCACCTTACACTTCTAGCACCAAATTGGGGGCCAGGGATGTTAAGGTGTCCTTGACCCTCAAAATGCTGCCTCCAACAATGTCCTTCCCTAAAAGCCCCAGTGGAAGCCTGGAGCTACTAGGCTACTGTAGCTGTAAGATGTTCCCCGCCCACCCCCCCACCCCCCAGCCCATTGCTGGCCCATCACAAATGGACACCCCTGCCATTGGTCACATTCCTAATAATCATACCAGACACGTGGGTGGCACTTCGAGTATCCGGGGGCTCAGTCCTTTGACTCCTCCAGTGGGCTTAACCATCCTTAGCTCAGCCAGTCACATCCCAGACCTCAGCTGAGCCCCCATGAGATCTCCCATCCAAGTACTAACCAGAACCAACCTGGCTTAGCTTCTGGGATCAGACGAGATCGGGCGTGTTCAGGGTGGTATGGCCATAGACCCATGAGATCTCAATCCCAGGCAGCCCTATGACCCCAGGTGCCTAACCCTGCAACTGCACCACAAGCACGCACGCCAGCCCCCATCACTCTCCTTCCTTTCTGCTCATGTCCCCAGTGCCTCTTCACCGACCTCTTTTGCCCCCACTATCCCATCGTATTCACCTGGCAAAAGCCATCCCCTGTTACGTTCTTAACCAGACTTGGCCCACACTACTCCGCTGGATGGGGCTGGAGAAAACACACAACCCTGTTGGCTGGTCCCAGTGGATGACCACTGGCCTCGAATGAGCTGGCACTGCCCCAGCAAACCTACGCATTGTCTCTGCCGACTCCGGAACTGGGCAGCGTCTCTCTCAGCCCCTTCTCCAAGCTCCGAAACCTCTGCTTCCTCTCCCACCTTCCCTCCCGTCCACTGATCGCCACACTATCTCAGTGAGGAAACTGAAAAGGACATCCAAGTGCTTCCACCACCCCATGTCACAACCTGCCCTCTCCCAGCCTGCTCCACTCTGCTCCCAAACCCAGCGTCTTACCTGGACAACACCACCACCCCATCATCAGCTTTCTCCTCCCCTCGGAATCCCTCCCACGAGCACCCTGACACTGTTGGCCCTCACAAATAAACATTTCCACGTCTCCTTCTCCAGGTCCTTTCTGTCCTCTATAGCAAAGCTGTGTCTCCTGCATTCCATTCTCTTACGGCCACTCCATCAGACTTCACCTCACTACACTACTAAAATGGCTTTGGGTCCAGACCTCCAAATTCATATTCAATATGAATATGACCTTCATATTCAATATGAAACTACCCAATTCCTAGTCTTTAGCCTTTTTAAAAAAAAAAAAAAAAAGTTATTTATTAGAGAGGTAGAGTTGAAGACAGAGGGAGAGACAGAAGGATCTTTCATCTGCTGGTTCACTCTCCAAAGGGCCATGACGGCTGGAGCTGGGCCGATCCAAAGGCAGGAGCTAGGAGCTTCTTTTGGGTCTCCCACACAGGTGCAGAAGCCCATTCACTTGGGCCATCCTCCGCTGCTTTCCCAGGCCATAGCAGAGAGCTGGATCGGAAGTGGAGCAGCCGGGACTTGAACTGGCACCACATGGGATGCCTGGGCCACAGGCAGGGTCTTAACCTACTATGTCACAGTGCCCAGTCTTCAGCCTTTTTGACCAGTCTGCATCACCTGACATAGTCTGATTACTCCCTGCTTCAGTTTTTCATTTTTACAAGCTTTTTATTTAATATTTACATTTACCTGTATAAATAAAAACTGGAGGGAAGCCCATGAACTGTTTTGTTCCCCATTCTGCATGATCACCGTGTCACGTCTCCTCCTGTTTCCCCTACCACACAGGATGCTAATTTACTTTAGTCCTGTGGACCCTCTTCTCCATAATGGCTTCTTTTTGTCTTAAGCTGCAATCCAGGCAGAATGACGGGTGGGCTGCGGAGCTCCTTTACACCTCTGAAGTCCCCTACGTAAGGTTTCCTCACCATCCTCACACCTTACCGACTTGGCCTTCCTTTGGAAACTGTGTCATAACCACACGTGTGTCCCAGATGCACAGTTTAGGAAGATTACCTGGCAGTAGTAAACAGACTGGATTAGGAAAGGTAGCAGTCATATGAAGATATTTACAATAAACCAGGCAAGTTAGGATGGCGACAGTAACAACAGAAAAGAAACTGGCCCAGGAGTTCATGAAATGAGGCTGGCATTGTGGCGCAGTGGGTGAAGCTACCACTAGAGACGCCAGCACCCTATGTGGGAGCCAGCTGGAGTCCTGGCTGCTCCACTTCTGACCCAGCTCCCTGCTAATGGCCTGGGAAAGCAGCAGAGGATGGCCCAAGCACTCATGTCCCTGGATCTATGAGAGAGCCAGATGAAGCTCCAAGCTCCTGGCTTTGGTCTGGTCCAGTGGCCATTTGGGGAGTGAACCAGCAGATAGAAGATCTCTGTCTCTCCCTCTCTTACTCTGCCTTTAAAATAAAAAAATAAATACTTGCAAAAAAAAGTTCTGTGAAGACAAAATGGATAGGATTTGGTTGTAGAATTGGCTGTGGATAAAAAGAAGTTAAAGATACCCGAAGTGGGTTCAAATCGTGGTTTTAATTCCGACGTGCTAGTGGGCCACTACTTACCCACCTTTGTGATCTGTAACTGACATAAGCCTAAGTTGCCATCTCTGCAAACAGGGAGAATACCCCCTACTCCAGTGCGGCTTCTGTGAAGATTCAGCTCAACTCTAAGTGCCACGTCTGGTACAGACACACGGCGTCGGGCTTAGGGGCACAAGGGAAGGTTAGAAACAGGACTACAGCAAGGACTGTGGGTGAGTGTTCCATCTTCCCACCAAGAGAAAGGGGTGTTGGAGGACTTCACCAGCTTGACTGACAACGCCCCTCCCCAAGGTGGGGTGGGGGATCTGCTTCAGGGTAACCAGCCTCATAGAGCCTGGAATGAACTTGGGGCTACTGGCCCAAGAGAGCCGGGCCTCCTGCTTCCTGTTTTATCCCCCTTTAACCTAGAAGAGCTGGGTCTGTAGTGCAGACTGACTAACACACTCCGCTTCGGTGGTGCAGGAACAGGTCAAGACAGCCAGGCCACACCAGTCTCACCCGGCTGTGAGAAGGATGGCTGAGCCTGCCCCAAGGAGGGAGGAAGGCACTGTTCGGGTTTGCTTACCTCGAAGACAGAGCAGCCTGGGTTCCTGCCTTGAAGTCAAACGCCCCTGTGATTTGTACAGTGTGGCCAGTGGCTGTCCTCTGGGTAGGAGGCAGGAAGGGCAATGTGCAAAGGGCCTGGCAGTGCCGACCGGCGGCCAGTGCCACACGAGGCAGGCGCACCGTACAGCACACCCCCTGCTTCCTACACTGCGCGCTTCACTCGCCCCCTGACGCCCTCATCTCTTGGTTTTCCTCCTGCTTCATGGGCAACTTTTTAGACTCCTTTGCTGGTTTCTCCTCAATGCTCCAACCTGAAAATGTTAACCTCCTTGCATCTCACCTTGTGTCCCAAATATCTACTGTAACACAGTGACCAAAGTCATTTCAACACAAATCAAAAGATGTTCAAAGTCATTAAGAAAATGAAATTACTAAAATACCGTTTTCACCTACAAATGTGCAAAATCCAAACGTTTAATCAAACATCATTATTGTCAAAAGAGAAGCATGTATTTTCCTATCATTCCCATGAACGGCGATTTGGCAATATTTTACTCTTCGACTTAAGAACCCCATGTCTGGGGGTTCCAAGATGGCAGAACAGTGACAGGGCGGTCTGATTTCGGCTGGGTGCAATTAATATAAAAAAGTGG